GGATACATTTTTGGCTTGGTCGGTGATACATTTTCTTGGGACGGCGCGGCAACACTGATCGTGATTGATATGTACTAAACAGCTGCACAAGCACTACAAAAATCGCTTGCAAGCCATCAGCTCTCATTTTAAGCACTGTACCTCTCCTTCACTCCCATAACAAAGCAACTGCTACACTCACGAAAGGTTTTGTCATACGAGCGAATGCCGCACGATAGGAAAAGAACAACAGAACAAAGCTGAAGTAGAACCAAACTGAAGCAGAAGCAAATTAACCGTCGAAGCAGAATTGCAGCGTACGGCGCAAAAAACTGCTGCGTACGTACGCTGTCAAAATAAAAAACCATTTGCACTTGGGAAAACGAACACAATTGGCAACGTAAGCGTAGCAGCGCAAAGCTGCCGTACGTCGGAGTAAATCGATTTCTATTTTCTACGCCACGTACGAGCGCACAGGGTTGCTTTAGAATGCCAAATGTCAATTACAAACCAAACATATGTACATACACAAACAGAAGTGGCAAAATTTGTTAAATTCTTAATTCATAATTATCGAAGATATTTAGGAAATGGATTTACATTTCAACGAAAAATTAATTGAAGAAGTGAGGAAGTATGGGTGCATATACGATTTGTCTGCAGCCGACTACAGGAACGTCTTCAAAAAAGACAAAATATGGACACAAATTGGAGTGCACTAAATACAAAAGGTAAAAAACTATATGTATATTAGAATATTATAATATATTAAACTGAGGCTCGGTCTGTCCAGACGAAGTGTGCAGGAAGCGGTGGAAAACGCTCCGCGATTCCTTCGAACGGCATATGCGAAGTGAGGAGCTGACGACAGGCAGTGGAGCACCCGCTCCAAGCCAAAAGTGGAAGTACGCAGATAATATGTCTTTTTTGAGAGAAGTTAGAGACTGCAGGCCGTGAGTATTGTTTTTTGTTTCCATTGATGGGGAAATTTATATGGAATATTAAATTTAACTAGAACAATTGGAACCAGAATGCAAAACGATGATGACAATACTGTTGCAGACCACTCTCAAACAGAAAAGTCTCTAGAAATGTCGCCACGGCCAGAAGTCTCCATCACCGATTTAATTGCGAATAGCGAACAAAGTGCAACTCCTAACACTAGACCCAGCAAGAAACGGGATGATGAAACTATCAAGGCGTCCCTTAAGTTATGGAAAAGTGCTGTAAGTGTCGTAAATAAGTATTTAGAATGCTTTAATCCAAATTTTGTTAAGCAGTGTGAAGATGCATGCTATGACTTTTATGGTACCTTGAGGGCCCCCAAAATATATTTTTAGCTTTTTAAATTTTACGACATGCAACAGTACGACACTTACGATACTGTTGTGAACACACCAATTAGCTAATAAACCATTAAACTCATTTGTAAAATGTTGTTAACTTAGATGATGGCAAATTTAAAAAGGTTTATTAATGTTAAAAGAAGTTTGATATTGGCCCACTATATCTAAAACTGCTTTATATTATGTAAGTGCCCGTTTTTCATATCTTCAGAAAACTGAAATTTGGCTATATCTCGAAAACTGTTCTACTTTTTTTATATTTTGCCTTAAGATTCGGATGAATTGGAAAATTTTTTAATCACAATTCATATAAAAATTTTTTATTTATTATTTCTGTAAACAAAAAGAACAGTAGTGTGCAAAGCCTAAGCAATGAAAAGCACTTTAATTTTTTTTCTGCCACTAATTTTTATTTATTTAGTTGATTCTTTTTTTATAAAAATATAGTTCAGTCTATGTTTAATATACACAGTATAACAGACAGCCTTGCAAATCGACATTTGCTTCAACTTATCTTACATACCCGCAGTATTGTGCAAAACTCAAGCAACAAAAAGCACTGCTACAATAATTATTCATTTATTTGATTGTTTTAACTTTATAAAAATATTTTTCATTCTATAAAACATACCATATAAATCAAATTTTAAAACGTTGTACATAATTCACAAAATTACCTAAAATTTAAAAAAATATTTTACAAAATTTCAAACTTTGTAATCAGAATTTCTAAAACTTGTTTGTGTATGCAGTTTTGTAGTCTATATAGTATAAATAAATAATAGCTTAAAAACTAGAAAACACGCTTTAATGGCAGATAGATCTAAAAAGTCAAAAATAATATTTAATATACATAATTATAAATTAATTACCAGAAAAAATCTATATCATTTTCAAAAAGCGTGGGGTGCTACGTACTATATTCTCATATTAAGTCTACTTCTAAAGGAAGGTAGTAAAGGTTTTTCAATAATTGGTACCGATCGCCCTAAGCGATCTGCTTGGTGCTCCTCATCCAGGTGCAGAGTTGTATGATGCTTGTCATGGCACCGACGGCATCTCTCTTCGCTCGTGCACGTATCGACGCGGTGTGTCATAGACAAGCAGTCTGATTCGCATCGAACACCTTATGTAAAGCAGGACATGAGTAATAGTTTGTTTCATTTTTACAACGTGTTTTCGCGGCATCAAACAAGAACGGTGGTAATAATCGATAAACGTGATACGGAGTATCATAATATTCCTGATGTCGATTACCGTATTTTTGCGCATCGCAATCATTTTTTAAACTGGTATTCCAATCAAAAATCATCTAACACAATGGTAAGATAATTTATTAAAGTACAATTTTTCTAGAGATTGCGAGGCATGAACCAATTAGAACAGACCGGTCGAGAAGCAACCATTTGTGCGTTGATGACCGTCGAGTAGAGCAGTATTTATAATTTGCATAAAAGCCATACTTTGTGATAGCAATTGAGAAAATTATGCCTCGTCTTCATATTCTTTGTTTACTTTTAAAAGAAAATAACATGGCATCAAAATTACCAACGTCAGCCAGAAAATTACTTTTTTCCTTTTGCTTCATCTTGTCGTAGTTCGACGGATTGAGTAAAAATCCCCAATGACGCAAGCTTAACGTAAGCATTTGGTCTCGAATACAACAGATGGCGCCATTGCTAATTCATGAATGGCAATATCCTGAATGGCTGAAATGTCATTCAAGAAATAACCTATCACGAGGAGAAACGGTTCGTATAGTGGAATTTGTTATAATAGTAATTTGTAGTATAGAGTTTGATTTAATATACTTAGTTTAGGTTTCAGACGCTTGCCTGCATCGATTTGCAACCCTTTGCCTTGAGCACACAGCACGGATTAATGCCCTGTAAACGGATAAAGAGAAGATGCCCGAAGTGTAAGTGGTTCTGTATGTATGTATGTAATTAAAATTTTAATTTTTTTTTT